CTTCAGTCTAGCGGAAACTGTCATTACGGTTGTGCAGATGGTCTGGAGTGTGTAAAACGTGGAGACCCTGATTTTCGTCATCCTCATCACTATAATAGGGGCAAGTGTATTCGTCCGCTCCCACCCACTGAGGAACCAGGCTCTGGGGATGTAGACGACTAAGGGAAGAATACCAGAAAATGCATGTGACACATGTTGTAATACAAGTCGAAATGATATAATTACAATTGAACATGTAGATTAGTAAACTGTCCGGACGATCAATAAAAAGTGTGTGAACTGACACATGATGCATGGTGCTTGACATGATTGCTATGCGTGATATGATTTGCGAAATGTGTGAAGTGCGACTTTTGATTGTGCTTTTGAGGAATTTGTTCTAGAATGTGATTCCTGAAAACTGGAGTCCCAAACAAAGAAAGCATGACTCCGATTACACGTACCCAGGAATTCTCGCCCGCTCCATAAGCGAATCGATCTATTTATAGTAGACTCACAATAAAAAACAGTTACTGCACATGTTCATATCGCCCTCATTGGTATGCTTCCATTCAAAGAAGCTGTTTAACGACAGAAATTCAATAAAAAAGTACAGAGAAACTTTAGGAACATGTTTTCATCATTTACTCATGAAACAATACCGAAAGATATGAAGAACGCTTTGCATTGTCCAAGGCGAGACGCACGATGGCGAGATTTGATATGACAGAGAATAAGAATGAACTCAACGAATTTGCTAGCGTCATTAACTAATCAAAAGCCAGAAATCGAAAAGAAGCTTGTATCCACACCTGCCTCAGGTGCCAGTTTATCCATGAATAAAGCAAAGGGCATGTTTAGACGTCTCTCAAAGAATATAACACATCAGACTTTTGAAGAATGATTGAAGCAAAAATCTGAGATAAACACGCTAAATAATAAGCCAATACCAAAGTAGAGTGAGATGACAGTCAACCTACACAGACACTAAATTGCTCACAATGAACTTTTATTATCAGTCGTCAGCTGTTTAAAGACCTTTAGAGCCCATTGAATGAACTTTGGTATACTGTAGAAAGAGAAAGGGAGAAACAAATCTTTTTTTTTAATCAACAATCTAAATTTTCCTTTCTCTTCATTCTGCATTAGTAAACTTCTTGGAAGCACCAATGCCATTGTAGTTTTAAAATAAATCATTTGATTCAAATCATGACAGATATTTTGAATACTCCAAAGCCACCCTCCAAAGCTATTCTTTCTTTTCCATCAGTTTTGTTGAAAAGGTAAAGAGATGGACTTAAATAGGAAATGCTATTGAGAATTGTTCTATCCTAGACAAAAACGTCAGTGTATCGACTCAGGATCCTGCCGTTTAAGCGAAATGAAGCCGGCAGTGTTGTTTGGTTTTTGTCTGGTGGTCGCTTTAGTTGTAGAATCTTTTGGAGAAGAAAATGACTATCGAATGCGCAAGGTATTTTTCAATTTTTTTAATTACGTTGTAAACATATTTTTGTCTATGATGAGGTAGTAAAACTCGAAAATTAAACGTAAAAATATACTTTAAGCCCTATGAGGGAAAAATGCTCGGAAAAAGTTTTATTCGATAAAGATTTCCAAATTGGAAAAAAAAGTTGTCGGAAGACTCTCTGTTCTAGATTGAAATCTCTCATAATTTACACTGACGACACAATGTTCTCACATCACAGTGTAAGAAAAAGTGTAAAGTTGGAGAATGCTGCAGGATAGTCTGGTATTGGTATGAATGCTTTCAACAGAGAGGACTGGGACAGCCTTGTCGCAAGAAGCCGCCTGCTGTGAGTTCACGTATTTGTGCTCTTGTTAAACGAAAGGCCTTTACAATTTCCTCTAACCCTCAGCTACTATCTTCACGAGTTGAAAAACAAAAACAACTATTTCTAGCTTCTTTTTCATGCTTTTTTGTTTCTTTGATTGTGGCAACTAGTTATATATAAGCGGGTTTGATTAAGAAAACTTCGCTGACCAACCCAAGTATAGCTGCTCCCGAGGGCTTCTTCCGGTTTTCTTGAAATGTAAATTTGATATTTAAGGCGTAAGACGAACAAAAGAGTAACGACACCTTTCTTAGCCTAAGAGTTGATTTTTGGCTTTCTTATCCTCCCCGACTCATACCAATGTCCTCCGGTCTTTTGTCAGCAAATTAATGATCATTACAACAAAAGAAACAAACGAGCACATAATACTGGAAGAGGGTCTGAGGGAGAGGAGCAATTCTTTTTATGACGCAACGTACGCGTGTGGCTTAAAATTGTTACAGGCTAGGGGCAAACATAATACGGTGATGGTCATCTGGGTTTGTTGACAACGGGGCCGAATTTAAGATTAGTTTTTGAGATCTCCGTTACGAGAGTTCACCAAATCAAACAAATTAAACATGAAATTGGCAACAGCGATCAACTTTACGGCAATAACTTTGAGTGTGCGTCAGCACAACATGTTGTTGACTTTGTATCTTCTATAATAGTATCTCTGTCACCACGGTTGTCGAGATGGACTGGTGTGTAAACGTGTCGGTCGTCCCACCCCGGCAGGGGAAAGACATCCTCATCACCGCAGGCGCTTCAAATGTGTCCGTCCACCTCCACCTACAGAGGAGCCTGGTTCTGGAGACCTTTACATGTAGTCTTACATAATGTACTCACATGAACGTCAGCCCAATCGGGCACCTTGAACCAACTTTTGTTGTTCGGAATCTGTCAAGATATTTAATAAAGGGTATTCAATACGAAGATATATTCTGAATTATTTATTCAATACCTTTTCACTGCGATGCTGTGATTTGATCCGCAGCTGTCATTGAGTTCCCGTTAAACAATTCGTGTCATTCGATGGCAGTTACATAAATCAGCCAGGGGACTGAAGGAAAGAAGTCTCTTAGATTTTTTGTCCAAGATGAAGACCTATTGATTATTGATGTTATTGACAATTCCCTTTATTTGCGTATTGTTTTTACGTGAAACTGTCACTCATACATTCACATGGGAATAAATTAAACACGCTTATCACACTCTTCGCGTGGAAACGCAGGTTTTCTTTATTGTCAATGCAATTTTTCCTTCTACAAATATGAATCAATAAAAGGATCGTGGGGACCCATTCTGTGTTTGTAGGCTATTGTAATGACCAGCCGGATCAATATCAGTATCTGGACAACTGCCCACCTACCCCTCCCCTAACTCAACATCAATCTTAACTTGTTGTCAATTAACTGTTGTTTAGTTAGGGGGGAGGGGTGGGTAGGTGGGCAGTTGCCCAGATACTGATATTGATCCGACCAGCGTTTAGACTAAACATTTCGCTTTTCGCAAACACCTTGAAAACATTTCAGTACTAAATTAACGATGCAGACCTCTGTGACCGCAGAGGACTGTGTTTGTTTGGGTAAGTATTACAAATTCAATTTCTTAATTGAAATAATCATAAGAATATGAAACAAGTTCACCTAAAAGATCCCCGTGTCAAGCAGAGACGAACAGTCACATTGCTACGATTTTTCTTCTATATAGGAATAAAACCCAGTGTATTGTTATTAACTATTTTACGATATAGGTACTTGCAAACGGCAAAACTGAACGAGATACAAAAGCGAGTGATAGAAATATATCGATCTATTTCATTGCAATCAAATATATAGGAGCTATTCACATTCTACTAGCATTCAACGATTTGGTCGATTCCCACGCAGCGTCAGTTTCCTCCAAAAGCCGACTTCATTCGGGAAAAAATACTCAGATTATTCCAGATAACGTTCTTCCCTAATATTATACACATTGCGACTAAAGCTGAGGAATATATATATTTGAAAATTGGGAAAATATGACACTTAAATGCTTCGTTTAAGCGACCAATTGTTGAAATGTTTTATAAAATGGTTTTCTTTGTCTTCCGCTTTATTCAGACTTACCACCTGGTTGAATATATTTACAAAAGATGGGCGACAATCCACTTTGGAATACATGATGGTTGCGTTTTGTTTTTATATGATAGCAATTGACGCAAAAGCGTTAATTTCATATAAATATTGGTTAGAGAAGCCTCTGCTGTTAAAGCTGACAAATTCACTTTATAAAACGCGTGTTTATCGTCACACACTATGATTTCGATAGAAAAGGAAAGTTCTACCTTAACGGAATGAGTTGAAATTTTTGGGCGCGAACTGGAGGAGGTGGGTGAACATGTTTCATTTCAAAGGGTTATCTTGCCACTGAGGTGGAGAGGAATGAATTTGAAATGAAGCGAAGACTCCATCAACCTCCTTAAGAAACAATGATCATGAAGCGATACTTAAGCAGCACATACCTCTCACCAAACAAGCTTAAGGTTTGTACAAATAGTCACAGACGGACGGTTAGTTTCTTTATAGAGACGCACTTGCCCCCGCAAAAAGTGTAGGATGTGCAGATGTTGCTACGACATATGGTATTTAGAGGGGGCTGTGACAAGAAACTCCTGAAAAACTAAGACCCAGTCCCAAAACTAGTACAACATGTTATCATAGGCTCAGTATCCCTTTGTAGGATTGCTTCTTTCACCCAAGTTTTTGCGCAAACTATTTTCCTTCAATTGGGACATGGCTTGGATGAATAGTGCTTGTTGCGAGCAACCCGTTGGGAAGTTTCTGAGCAATTTTCGCGTTTTTTCGATCATTGTCTTTTTTTAAGCGTTCTCCCTTCAATAGTGTTTATATTTTCCCATTCCTTTGTTTCCATGACGACATTAAAGAGAGAATAACACTGAGGAAATAACTCAGAAAGCAGCTGATTCGAATGAATTCGCCTTCCACCCCTTTTTCCTTCTTCCTATTTTTTTCTGGAGAGAAGAATTTATTTTGAACTTCTACAAAATTAGGTTGAATCGAGGCTTTCAGTTGGACTTGAATGTAAGATTGGATGCATAAAAGCCATACCTGGCAAATCATTATGAATTCTGCTTCATGTCAGAACAAGAACTACTTTTCGTGACTGTGTGTTTAGATAATTTTATTATCCTTTTGAATTTCCATATTTTTCTTGACGCTTGAATCATGCAATAAAGATCCGTCTATTTACATTGCTTAGTCCTGAACTTGACTTATTGAGAGTAACTAGCACAAACGGTTCTTCTTTTACACTAATGGATTAATCAATCCTTAATAATTAGAGGAAACAAGACAACTTCTCAACGAGAGTAAAGCACCTCTCTCAATCTTAAAGGCTTGTTTTTTACCTTTGTGGAAATGCGGGTGTAAAGTTTGGAAGATAGATACATTTATGTTACGACTGCTTTCTATTAACCGACGATATCCTCGGAAGATTGTTGTTTTTGCTAAGAAACGGATCCTTTTTACAGACCATTTATGAAACATAAACCTTAGCTAATAGCTAAATATGTACAAAGCTTCTCTTACTGGCTAAAGCTTTTTTAATGGCTAACTTTCAGCAACCTTTTTGTTTGCAAATAGCTTATAGAGGATAGACAAGCGAGTACATATGACGGTTAGCGTACAATTAATTTTTACCACGTCAAAATTACGTATATTAAAGGTATAGCTTGGTAATAAATGCCGCGAAAATTTAATTTCAACATCCTGTGTGCCGAGTGATCTCTGTCAAAAACGCATTATCTGCGTTTTTCTTTAATTCAAAGTTGAATTTTCAGCTGGCTAGCTCAAGAGGAACATGCATTTTTAAATAGCGTACTTGTTATTTTTTTGAGGGCCTTTAACCTAAATTTTTTTTACACCTCCGTAAATGTTAATTGTGAAAACAGCATAACGACATGTAGAAAAGCATTACACCATACAGTTGTTCTTAAAAAGAGAGATTTTTAATCTCGCCCGTTACTTTTTTTTTATCTCGTTTTTTCACCTTTTATTTAAATTTTTCCTTGTTTATTTATACGATTAGACTTGGTTTAAACCTTCCCCTAGGTCTAATGTCCAGCTAATTTCCCCCACTTTTACGAAATAAATAAAGCAAACATCTGAAATATTCCTTGCGATACCGCGTGCTTAACAGGCAATAAATAATGGGATTGACGCAGGCGTGGAAATTATCCAGCACGTCTGAGAAATTAAGAAGAGTATCGATAGCCTTTTTCTGACTTTTTCCACCGTTTCCAAAGTCAAACAACAGCCAGGCTATTTGCCCAGGAAAAAAGCAAATGGCGAACAAAATGACAACGGCTGCTAATGTCCTGATGGCTTGATTTCGTCTCTTAATCCTTCTTGCCTCCGCCGCGCGCTGTTCCTCGGTTGCAAAGCTATCGTTGCGCCTGAAGTCACCAAAATGAAGTAGGGAAAGTGCGATTCTAGCATACACGATGGTAATGATCACTAAGGGTATTAAATACTGTAAGAGAAAAAGTGCTAAGGTGTATGCCTGTTTGTGACGAAAGCTCGGCCAGTTTTCGTGGCATTCACCAGGTGGGACAGACGTTGTCACGATAGCAAGGGGTAAGACGATAATGAACGCTGCAAACCAAATGGCGGCCACCCAAACAAACGCCTTTTGTTGCCTCAGTTTCGGCCGGTGAGGGAAGACAATCGAACGACAACGTTGAAGCGCCATGGAGGTGATAGTAAATATGCTCAGGAGGTAGAAGATTGTGTACATTGGCCAAAGAAATCGGCAGTAAACCTCGGACTTTGCGATAACCCCAAACAATTCGTAGGTTGTCAAAGGTAGAAGGGAGGTAAGGAAAAGAAAGTCTGATATCGCCAAGTTCAGGACTAATATCTGATATGCGGACATGTTCTGTCTCCGACGAATAATAACAATAATAGTAAGCAAGTTACCCAAAAATCCCACGATGAAAATCGCTGCATAGACTGCCACTCTGATATAAGTTTTGGCCTGCATTTCCATCGTCAGATATCAGGTCGTAACTAAGGCGGGTTGGCATAACCTCAGTAAAATCACATCTACACTCCCCTTCCAACGTTTGCGGATTAACTTAAGTGACTTTACTTTCTCGTCGTCTCTTCTCTACTTTTGTCGACCGACATTAGTTATTTTCAATTATAATCGTGCTGAGAAAAATTAAATTTTTGAGTGAAGGCTGATCAACAATTGTAAGAATATTCATTTTGAGAAACCTGATCTGTCATCTCACGTCAGTTGTCAAACCATGGCCACCGAACCAATAAGCACAAATTGAACTCGTATAATTCACGGAAAATAAATATTTTTCTTATACGCGAACCTATAACGCGGGCATAAGGTAACAATCAATAATTCTATGTGCAATGTTCCCGCCCAGGTAATTAGCCCTGGGGAGGCATTATACTCCCTCTTTTTAATTCCAAACAAGGATCTGTTTGATGACGATGCGAAATACAAGCTTACGTCATACAGACGTGGGAAGACCTTTTAATCGTATTCGAAGATCATGAACGCAGCAGGTTTTTATTTCTTTAAATATCCGAGGGTTTGTTGTATTTAAAACGATTTCTGATTGATACAGAATTTTCAGTGGGAAGTTGTTTACTTGACAAATGCTTCGCGCGCGCGACATTACAGTTTCTCACGTAAACTTGCGCTTCCGCGAAACCACCGATAGTTTCACGCCAAATTCAGAATTTCATCGGTGTTTAGGAAAATTTAATGAAAAAACGAGACTTTCCTTTGTTTACAAGGATTGGTGATTAGCATTTGTACAAGGTAATTACAAACAAAAATCTAAATGTCAGTTTGGCAGGTAAAACTGTTTTTTGTCGAGTAACTAATTAAAAAGAAATAAAACGAAACAGGCAAGCGACATTTCATATTAGGGGATGTCTAATTATTGAACAGAGTCAAGCATCTCTGAAATAAAGAGAACAAAACGTTCTTGTTCTTTTGCCACAATTCGATTCTCGACATCGTAATTTACCCTAGAAAAGAGATTAATTAGTCTGAATCTAAATCTTAATAAAATGAAAATCTTTGTTTGGTTTAAGGGAAAATAAGCCATGTTCTGTATATCAATATCCTGACACGAATTTTATGTCTATAGTTCTACATCTAATAAGATTACTTTTCTTCCTTTCGAATATTTTTCGGAATAGCAGGAGGCTCAAAAACAGGAAGCCCAAAAGTTTTCTTTATGTAAATATGTTACGTGGAGAATTGTGCTTTTTCCTTCTCGGTGATCAGCAACTTTAACTCCTCTTCTGAGCACCTACAAGAAAGTAAGTACTCCTCCTCAAGACCAAGAATCACTGAATGACGGTCACAATCCCGAAAAGTATATCACGTGGATAATCATCCGTGATTGGTACTTAGTGCGCTGACCGAGCTCAATCATTTTCCACTTCGCATGATAATCTTATACGCGATAACAAAAAGGTAAAAATCTTTCACTCAGTTATTGATATTAAAGCTATTAACTTCTCCACTTTGAGTGACACAAAAGCAATTACTTTAAAAGTGCCGAGTTTCCGATTACTCGGAAAAACGACGATAATCTTCACTTATTAGCATAAAGTCAGCAGAATGTCTAAAACCCTTTCAGATTGGAGAAAATTTGTACAATAATGCTTTAACTCAAAAAATGCTGTCAGAAATTTGAAATTAAAAATGACTTTGAACAAAACGGACGAGAATGAATCGCAGTTTTAGCCAAGGGCTGGAATGTCTATCTCGTTGTTGTGCTATTCGATAAAATGCCATTTATTCGTCCACTTTCAATACTTTATCTTGTTTTGTCCTTTCTGGCTTTATCTCTTCTTGTTCATATTCTTCACGCTATTAGAATACATTTCTTGGAAGGACTGTGCGACTAGTCTTTAAAAGGAAAACAGAAATCAGAATTGTATCTACAACGAAATGTTTTTTTTTTTACTTGTAGAAAAAGAGAACTGGGATGAGAAACCTTGTGCAAAAGCGATTAGACAGATATATAGTAATGATAAGATTCAATAGTTAGATAGCGAATTAAGTCCAATATAAAATTATGGATTCTTATCAGCCTCTATATTCTGTAAAATGGTAGTGAGTTGTCCGTATGGCATCAGACTGATAACTATTCCTATTATCAGAGACATCTCTGTCCGAGTGAAGAACACGCTGATAAAATGATTAGGATGCTCGCGTCGTCTCGTCGTCGTCTCTCAAGTTAGATAAGTATGCGCAAATCACGATGAAGTTTCCCTTAATATGTTTCGAGGGAAACTCTAATATCAGTGTTCAGCTTTAAAAATTATCTTTTAAGGTTGCGCAAGTCCCTCCCTGCCGAAAAAAAAGGAAAGAAAAGAAGATAAAAAAAAAAAGAAATGAAAATATTTAAAGAGGTTGTACCATCAAATGCTTCCGTGACCGGCATATTGGTTTAGAGGCGATCAGTCTGATTGCATGGCAAACGATTTACTATAGGCAAGAACTTCTCTATGAGATATCATTAAAAAGGGTTTTTTTGTAAACATTTTTAAAAGAGAGACTTCTATAATCCACTTGGTTGAATAAACAAACTGTTACAATTTTGCATTTGCGAGTAAATCTTACCTCATTACTTTCGTGAAAACAGGTACTGAGCATTTCTATTCCGACACGACACCAACAGATTGAAATATAACGTATACAACTCTGAATTGAATATGGGAAATTAATTGTCGACTGATTCGTTTTTAAATGCTACCACTTTGATATACAACCTGCTTCAGTTGTATGCGTCGCGAAAAAAAACTAGTCTCTGACAAGTTCGTGTCTCCAACTAAGTTGAGACTAAGACGTTTTGACAGTTGTAATAGGAAGGGGAAATACTTTCTCTCTATTGCAGCTGTAGTTTTCCCCAGGCAAACTGAAACTTGTTGGTTCCGACACGATACCAACAGATTGAAATATAACGTATACAGCTCTGAATTGAACGTGGGGAATTGACTGTCGACTGATTCGTTTTTAAATGCTACCAATTTGATATACTGCCTGCTTCAGTTGTATGCGTCGCCAAAAAAAACTAGACTCTGACAAGTTCGTGTCTCCAACTAAGTTAAGACCAAGACGTTTTGACAGCTGTAATAGGAAGGGGAGATACTCTCTCTCTATTGCAGCTGTAGGTTTCCCCAGGCAAACTGAAACTTGTTGGTTCAAAGAAGGATTCAAGTGAAAACAAAAAAATCGGCTAAGATGTCTAGAAATCCTCCGAAAACAACGATTGTTCACTTTCTTTTTGTTTACGTTTTCCTCATAACTTCGTTGGCGCTTGAAAGCAACCTGGAAGGAACTTCTTCGTATTTCTCGATAATCAGTAAAGCTTCTAAAGTAGACAGGTCACTCGAAGTGCATAGTGCTGTAGATGAGACGGAATGCATGGCTCTCTGTAACAGACGACGCGGCTGCTTGAAAGGTATTTATAACGAACAGAGTGGATCTTGCTTCTTAGAGATTG